AAAGCAAACAAAAATCAAGAAACATGATCTTTAAAACTAGAAAACATATCAGCATTTTCACCTCATAGATAGCTTTAAGATCCTTTGCACATTGTACATTGCTCTTGTCTACTTCTACATATTCTCCTCTGCAATTCCTTTTCGCCGACTGGTAGAAATGCACAACTTAGAACTTTCTCGGATTGCGCGGAACTAAGCTAACATGTGACTATAAAACTTTCATGTAATTTGATGGCAATTTGTATGAAATACCTAGGATTACAACTGAAAGGAAGTTAAAATTGACCTGGTAGATTTCATCAGAAATAAGTGCCATGCGATGAGCAAATGGAACTTTTGAATTGTCATCAAATTTTGAATCTGTTGCTGGGTTACCCAGCACATAACCCTGAAACGGTTTGTGGGCATGTCATTGCTGCATAAAACCAAAGACACCAAGCAACAAGGTAATTTTGAGGATACTAGAATACATACTTTGAGATTGATTGGTGGTTCATGCCCAACTTCAATGCCTGCAGAGTCATTATAAACTTTGGAACTGGCCATAATCAAGAAGGGTTGGGGAATTGAGAAAGGCACCATCCAAGATTACCAGCTGATATTTTACTTGAAATGATCGGAACGATCCTTCCAGAATGTGAGTCACCGGCAACATAGAGGGGATTTCTAATAAATTTTGGGTGTCTCAGCAACCACTGTATAGCCAACCAGTACTAATTTCAGTAAATGATTTATCAACAACAGAAGTGCAAGAAGGCGCCTTGTACCTTAAATTTAATTAAACTATAAACCACGTCTGTTATCTTAAGATGCCATTATGATTGGATTAAATCAAAATGTTTTCACACCTTTCTCAGAAATTCATAACTTTGTTTGGCAAACTTTGTGTCTCCAGTCTTGGAACCTTGGAAGCTCCTTGAATAGGAGAATCCAGTGCCTACTGGTGCATCCAAGAAGATTATACTGGAGACCTGGAAATGCATCAAATAGTCGGTTGGAAATCATAAAAAACAACCAAAAATAACAGCTGTAATCTCTCATCACTCGGTCAATAAATCTTCTCCACCTTTGTCCATGAATGCGGATGCAGTGCCATGGTTGGTAAGCTGCCATTATACTTGACAATGTCAAAACGTATAGGGCCTGCATAAGTATGAAATGAATCAAAAAGCTCGTTCATGTGAAGAGGAGTAACCATTTCATATAAAAAAATGAGACTTACATTCTATTTTAGGTACCTTTTGACGGCAAAAAGAATATTAAAAAGAAGAAATAAGTGGAACACCTATCTCAAAAGCAAGTCCGGAGAAGGCAGAGCAACCAGGGCCTCCAGTGAGCCAAAGCACCAGGGGATCCTCACTTGGATTTCCTTCAGATTCTATAAAATAGTAGAAGAGTTGAACATCTTGGTTCTCATCCACGCCAATATATCTATATATAAACATTGTACTAGTTATAAAAAAAATTAAGTGCATATTATCTCTTATTCTCCTTGTTTGATCATTCCAAAGGGTTTACTGAATCTAGGAAATGAAACAATGTATGTGAAATTGAAAAACAAACTCACCCAGTTTCAAGCTTGAAGGGAAGGGAACCGGAAAATCCAGGAATATACTTAATGGTCGACAAAGAAACCGTAGGCCTTAATAACAACAGTAACATAATAAAATAGAGGTATCCCAAATTGCTGAAGTTGGTCCAATCAATGTCAATGTTCTGCTTATGAATTTGCACTTTCATTTTGGCCAATTGTTCATAAATTTTTTATTGCTGATAGGATTTGAATTTCTACCCTTCTCTGCCTTATGGCTGAGAAAGATGAGTGTAAAGGAGATTTGATATCCCTCGGAAGAAGAAGAAGAAGACGAAGACGAAGAGCTTGTTTTTGGACTTGCTGCATGGCTGATACAGATGTTGATGATGCGTTATCTATTTTGGGTTGTAAGTTAGTTCTAAGTTACATAGGCAATCACGTGGGCCATCTTTGTCTCATCTTGCACAAAATGGTGAGGATAGAAGATGCATATTCTCATCATTGTACTGCAGAATCAAACAAATGTATACTATTACTTGTTTTCTTCTTCTTTGAAACAATTTTTGTTTCTTACACCATCAGATTGATGAAGCAAAGTTTGTAACTATGAAAATGGAGTTCTATGTTTACTTTTCTGTCACACGGTGATTCTTTTCATATTTAGTTTCTGAAGGTCATTACAAAGCAAATAACCTATTAAGGTGCTCACTTTGTCTACAATGGCGGACAAAATTAGTGTCTTTAAGTGGCCATGGCCATTACAAAATTTCTTAAGAGTTTGGTTTCCTTAAATAAAGTGATCTTAGAGGAGGATAAAATTAAGGCAGTGGGGTCAGTCCTAAACTGCCAAACTTAAAACTCATCAAGGGGTTACATCTATTGTTCCTATATCCAATCAATTGGGATTGAGCAAATGAAATCTGGATTTTGTTGGTGAACTTTCAATATCTCAAGTCAAGGATTTGGTTACACTTAACATTAAAGAATTAGTTAATCAACCAATTTCAATCATGATCTCAATCGATCCTTTATTCATCTCATTCTCTTTATATATGTGTACAAATGGTTGTGATAAGTGGAGCACAATGAGTTTTTAAGAACTCAAGCAATTTGCAGATCGGGGTTCTGGAGCTAGAGCAGGTTCTTGAGAAGTCCATCTCTTGAACATGGCAAAACATTGCTTAGGCTGGTATTCTGGAGCTGGGTAACCAGCTAGTTTTACCAATCAGAAACTGCAATTGGCACTTGAGTAATGGTTAGAGAATCCAATTCTTGAATACCTTCACTGTTGGAGTATTCCCTCGAATAGCTGCATTAGAATTTAGGACTTGAGTAAAAGCAGAAAATCAATTTTTTTGAAGCTTCATTGCATTAGTAGAATAATATATCTATATAGTTTATAGTGCTAACCTGCAACTTCACCATCAACAATAGAAAAATTCAACAATAAAATAAAACAATTGGACATATTTGTTGATGTGTTTAGCACTTGTTCTTCTTATACTTATTGGTCTATAAGTAAAGTGATTTCAACCTTCATCAAATCGTATTCTTTATCATATAAAAGTGGCCACTCTCTAAGAACCATGAAGCTTATAAAATTATTTGGAAAAATAGTTCAATATGTAGTATCTTAATGTCTATAATTAAGAAAAAGAAAAAGTTAAAGTTAATGGCTCCAATAATGGATTATTAAATATTGATGAATCTAAATTGTCGAAGCATTGTTTGATAAACTGAAATCTACCCACCTCTCTATAATGTAATAATACGTGGAGCTGCATAATTTTTAAAGTGAGAAAACCTTAGCACTTGCTTATATAAAACAATTGAATTGTAATAAACGTACCAATCAAATTTATAAAAACACCCATTACTTAGGTTATGAGGTTCTATCAATCGCAATCTTCTGCGGGTCCAAAATGCAAATTAGGTCAACTTTTCTATGTCTTCCTTCGCTTTAGTAAGTAAGATGTTGTACCTGACTTATGGAAAATGCTAAATTATGGATTATGTTATTTATAAGTTCAATTTGATTAAAATGTTTAATATGATTTAAGTATTCTTATCGACACAAAATAATATTATTGAATTGATAGTTTGAAATAACCCAGGGCCATCAGATTAATTATGATCTTAGCTTGATTTAATTTGATAGGACCCGACCATTGTTTTTCCTTTTGGGATAATATTGCCCAAGAAATGAGGATCTACCCCGTTTGAAAGACAATTGAGATTATATTTAACCCATTAATACAGAAATATACTTCTTAATACAAGGGTATAATTATATTTCCATTACTACTTAAATATATTTAATCTAAAACCAATTTTTTTCCATAGCATTGAGTCCAGCCTTTAATTTGAGTTTTGTCATTTGGGTTCAATTTATACTGATTAAGCCTCGATGTCTCAGACGAGAAGTCTCCAAGAGCAAACTTTCGTCACCAGGTGGCAGCAGTACCATATCAGACTGAGCCTAAACGATGGCTAGAATCACTGATCTATTGACAAACTTATCGGGCAGAAAATATAGGGGAATCATGGATATTTGTACCCTAAAATTATAATATCTGTACAAAAAGATCAAGATGTTAAAGTTTCTGGTAGGATTCACATATCCACTCGAGTCCTGAACATACCAATAACTGATACAAATTATGATATTCCATTAAAAAGAGTATATAAGCTTCAAATATAATCACAACCAACCTCAAATCACAAAGCCAAACTAAAAATTAAAGGTAACTACAGAAACAAGAAACAAAAGAAAGTAGACAATGGTCAATTTGGAACAGCATAGCTCCTACTTCTTTGAAATAAATTACTATTCTTCTTGACCTTGACATCACCCTCCTCAAAATCACAAATATGTTCTTCATCAATTCTCCCAATACCAACACTAAAACTCCTCGGCATTTTCTTTTTATTTGATCCACTTTTACTTGCCTGCACTTGTCTCTGAAGAAGATCCGAATCAGTTCTATTGCCTAGACTCCTTGTAGAAGCAGCTCTAATGAGCTCTCTCATGTCCTCGTTATTGCTCGATGATTTGGACGAGTTAACACTGTAACTCCGGGGCAAACCCATGTTGACTTGACCCGTTGGGCACCCCATCGCCGTCCCCAAAGCAATCTTCTCTGACCAGTCAGTCATGCCCTCCACGTACAGGTCCCTCGCCTTGATTAACATCCTTATTGTTGCCCTCAAGCATTTGTTGAATATGCCCGGTTGGTTGCTCTTCTTGGTTTTTACGTTGCTCATTTTTTCGATGCTCAATTACGTACCTTCCTGATCCACAAACAATAACTGATATCTCCCTCTATATATATAACAGAAGGAACGGACAGGATACTCAGAAGCCAAATATTATATATAGATAATTACAAGTTATTTCTGATTATGAATAAGTATACATTTATAGGTGGTGTTTGTTATATATATTTGCGTAATTAAGGAGGGTTTAATAAAATTAATTAATGAAAGGGATGGAGACTTTGCATTATTATTGCAGGCTATTGGTTATGTGGTCAAACGAGTATTGTGGGACTCAACTTTTGTATGTACTGTAGAAGGTTTCAAAAATAAGTCCGCTGGTCAGAGAGTTGAAATACAGAAGCAGACACAAAAGAAAATCAAAGTTGTTTAATGAAACAAATTAAATATGAAGATGCAGAAGAAGGGAAAATGGGTGACCGATTTACATTATCATATGATAAAATATTTGGTATGGAATAGTGACACCTGAAAATAATAAATCTTCCTTTATTTTATTCAATTTTTTGACAGTTTTTAGTAAGAATAATGGATGAATTTTCAAAGTCCAGCGCGATTAACAACATAAAATAAATCACCGTTTTTTAGTAGTATGCATAAAGCATCAATTTAATTGGTCAATAAGTGACGGAGTTGGATTCTTACTTAAGTTCATATTCTGATGACTGACATGGATAATATAGCTTCATAGTTGGACTTTCCTAACACGTACAAATTAATGGACTTAATTAGTCAGATAAAGTGACTATTTAGCTAACTAATTAATTACTTCTAAGATTGATATATTAATTATATCCACAGTGAAATTAGGTTTAATAATACAGGCTTAAAACAGCAGCAGGAATGGATTGATATCGTGATGAACCTTGTGAGTTCTCTTGGTCATCAACTACAGACGATAAGAAGAACAACTCAGGCATTGAATGGCTGTAGCCTGTAGCTGCAAAGCCACCATTTCATAACTTAACTCCAATTCAAGAAGGTGGGGTTTCAGTTTCATTTCATCACTCATTCACTCTATAATCTCCATATTCATCACATCATAAACTGGATGTTTCAGTAAACATGAAACTTGCCGGGTCTTGAATTAGTTTTATAAAAAAAGACCATACGAAGACGCAAGTTACCATTTTATTTACTGAAATCGCCAAACGTTTCCTAGAGTATTTATATGTGACTGATTACTGCGTTGCTCGACCTTAATTTCAAGATTTCAACTTCTTAAATAGATGATAAATTATGACCCGTCGAACTATTGTAATTTATTTAAATGATTAATTGCCTGACATCACCTGCACTGTATTAATTTACTGACTTAGGTTTAATCGTTCATACCGTTTGTTTACATAGATAAGGATGAAAATCCAAATATAGTATTAATTTATTGATGCTGCATATATTTGGGGCCGCTCCATAATCAATTTGATTGTGAACCTGAGTTGGACCTACAAGCTAATTTAATTTATTATAGAGTAAACAACTTTTCTTACCTAAATAATAGCTCAATGACCTTTTTGATCCGTAGATTTTAAAAATATCATTTTATTATCCAAATTTATATCATATTTTTTATTTTAGCATCATTGTGATCTCACACCACCACCATTTTCTTCTTCGATCGTCACTCACCAAAACCCCTCAAATCGTACTCTCACCGATCTCGTCAATCGCTGACAATTGAGTGATTAGGGCTTGCACAACTATCCCTCCTAAGTTAAATTTCGATCAATCTCAACCACCAAAAGACTCATTGGTCTTCCCTCTTCAAATATCGTAACAGCCTGGACCGAATTTGTTCTCTGTTTGCCACCAAAATATAAATTTGGATAGTAAAGTGGTCATTTAAAAGTCTATGGGTGAAAAATTGTCATTAAACCATTACTTGGGTGGGAAAAAGTCGTTAACTCTTTGGGGGCATTTGGATCATATAATATTTTATTATAGGGGTATATTATATTAACGGAAAGAAATATCACCTCGAAGATTACTGGGAATGTTTGAAAATGTGTTTGGTTAGTTCAAGTAAATTGGTAAATAATATGTTTGGTTGGGAGGATAAAGAAGTGGGTATGTCATATAGATTACTAAATTGCCCTCCTTTTTAAATATTAATATAATAGTATTTTCTATTATTATTTTTTGAATAATTTCTTTTAACCCCCTACATTTGAAATTTTTCTAAAACACCCCAGTCATATAAAACTTTAATTTGTAGCGAAATCACCCACACCTACCCTAAGCCACTGTCGACAGCTAGCCACCACCGCCGGCCACTGTCGGCAGTCAACGGAATGGCACACGACTGGCTGTATATGGTCGGCTGTGCACCGGCAAAGCCGGAAAGGGCCATGGATCACAAAACCATGGCCGAAAAATAGCCAAATCTATGGCCATTTCACGACCAAAGATCTGGCATTTTCATAACCACATCTTTGGTGGTAAAACAGCCATAGAAACGCCAAAACTAGCCGTTTCCGACCATGAATTTGTGATTCATGGTCGGAAAAGGCGTTACCGGTGCACGATTGACCATATCTTGCTGGTCGTGCACCATTACGATGACTAACGTCGGCGGCGGTGGTGAGTCACAGCCAACGTTGGTCTTGGGTGGCTGGGGGTATTTTGTTAACTTTTAAATATTTTTTGTGGCTAGGGCGTTTTAACTAATTTCTCAAATGTAGGAGGGTTGGGTAATTATTATTTGGTAGACATTTGACGGCAGTTGTGTCCGAAATGGTTTTTAATTAAGGGCAAAATAGGTAGAAAAATCATATTACCCCGATAATATTTTAATAACACCCTCTAATATGGTAATAAGATTACCTCTCACATTACCAACAGTAAATACTATTTGCAATAAAAGATTACCGTAATATTTTATTACTTATAAACTAAACACCGGAATCTTACAAAATAAACGAAGATTACTCCTGTTATCTTATATACCCCAAATCCAAACGACCCTTTATTATATCAGTATTTCTGCTTTGCAGTTAAATAATATATATAGAGAAGATGACAATGCAAAAGAAAATTGATCGAGTTTGAAGTATAACAAGTAAAAACAATTAATTTTAATGGGGCATTACGGAATTTTAATATGAAAATTTCTTATAACTAAGACTGATCCAACTTATACAAATACTTTATATTCTCAGGAATCAGGATTGGCATCAAATATTAATATGTTTATTATATTATAAAGATCTATTAATTTATATGGATTATGGAGTATCAATATAAGAAATTAAATATTACTGACCAAATCCTTTATTCCATGTTTCGCTGAATTGACTTGAGACTGGACCATGCATGCATTCAAAGACTGAATATCAAATCATGTTGAAAAAATAGCTGCGAATTTATATCAAATCTTGGTCCCAAGTCAATAAATCTTTTACCTAAATTTATATATATGCTTATTTCTATTTCTATATATTTGTTAATATAAGATAAGACACTGTTTATATTGGGTTGTTAGGCCTAACTTTATACCAATAATGGAGACTGTTAGATTAAACAGGGCTTAATTGAAGAATAAATTTGGTTTAATCTTACAAAACCAAGAAAAATTTGTTCAATGTATTGGACTTTCTATGAAAAAATATATTCATATTTCTTGTTCCAAGGAAGAAAATTTTCTCTCTTATGCTCTTACCAGAAATTATGCATTCTTTTTTAGTAAAATGATAAATGTCCCAAATTGTAAAATTGTAACTAATAAAATATCATACTTTATACAGTAAGGTTGCATTTAATACCTGTAATTTAGGGTGTGTTTGGTTCAAGGGTATTTGACAGTATTTTAGTAATGTTATCTTATATTATATACATTATCATGTTTGATTATTAAGTAATAAAAAATTCTAATAATCTTCCAAAATCAATAATAATTGTTGTTGGTTATATAGGTAGTAATCTGAATACCACCATTTTTTCTAGGTATTCTAAGATTACTTGGTATTCTTATTTTTGTTGCAATTTTACACCTAACTATTAAAATATTTTGACAGTAATGCCCTTGTTCTTAACACTATTTACAAGAATATTCATCATTATACACAAGATTTTTAGGACATTATTACCCTTGAACTTGAACCAAATTACTCAAGACAGATGGCCAGATCTAGCCACCACCGACATCGTCGGAACGGTGCACGACCAACCAGATCTAGCCAATCGTGCGTCGATCTGACCGTTGGCCATATCCATGGAAACGACTGTAATAGATCTTGTTGTTTTTTACTAGAATGGATCTAGCCGTTTTTGGCCAGATCAATGCACGGCCAACCATATCCGTCCGTTCGATCATGCACCGTTCAAGCTGCGACCCATAGTGGCTTGGGTGGGTGAGGGTGCTTTTATTAAAATTTAAACTTTTATTGTGATTTGGGTGTTTTAGCAAAATCTTAAATGTAAGGGATTAAAAAAATAATCCAAATCATAATAATAATAATATTAAAAAAAAAGGGTAATTCAATAATCTATATAACATACCCATTAATTTATTCTTTTCTTCTAACTAAACATATAAATATAATATATTCACCAATTTATTATAATCTAACCAAATGTTAGGGCAAAAAATCGTCTTGGGCTTGACGATGTCCAATAACGAAATAAACATGTCACAGCCTAAGGCCTCAACCCAATCCCGATTGGGCCTACACTTAAAATCACCTTGCGACCTACCTACTCTATGAGTTGGGCTATCCTATAAATTAAGCTAAACTGGGGTTCAGTTCATTAGCCTGCAACAGTCTATAAATAGGAAATCAGAGTCCTATTCTATTTCCTCTTCTACTAAGAGTCCAAATCTTATTCAAACTATTAAACTTGATTTGATAAAGTCAAGAAATCATATCTCTTTCATGATAGGGATTATCTCCCAAAATAGGACTTAGTGTCCTACTAAGATTCCAACTCTTATTTAAACTATTAAATTTGATTCAAGAAATCATATCTCTTTCATGATAGGGATTATCTCC